GTTTCCAGACTAATTAGAGAATTTTTACGTTTAGTCAAACGAACTATTTTCAACGTTTCTGGAACGTTTACAATCGTTCTATAATCGAACCATTATTCGAATTTTATGTTCGAATTTAATTCGAACAAATTCGAATAAATTCAACAAATTCGAACAAAACATTCGAAATAGAAAGCCACTTTCAACTACTTTTAGCCTCATATCTCCCGCACTCTTATAGCTATCGAGACGCAACCATCCCTAAGCACGAATGGAGACTTGGGGCTACCACCACATACAAACACCATTCACGTGCGATGTGTAGTTCTGGCGAAAAAGTGAAATATAGGGACATACATGTCCATTTTTATATATAGATATAGATATAGATATAGATTGAAATGATGTTATGTAACGAACGTACAGTAGGCTAATATCGTCAACATATGTAACTTGAATTTTTCTTCTCTCTAACTTAGAAAGATATTATTCAATTTAATTATCAGAGAAAATATCTTCTTGAAAAAATATTGATTGAAAAAATTCTTGAGAAAATATTCATACATGGAATCGTTTGAATATAATATATTGTAGGGAAGAAAATTTAAGTAAAATAATAATATTAACAAAATTTATAGATGTATACACGTTATTGCCGTCTTTTAGTTAAGAATGTTAAGTGAATTTTAATCTATATATATAAAAATGAATGTATGTGTGTGTGTCTGTCTGTCTGTCCTTCATGCATTACCACACCGTTTATCCGATTGTCGTGAAACTTTGGGAAGTTGTTTAATATACCTCAGCGAAGGTTTCTGGCATAGTACGATTGCCACGAAGCTCTGGGAAGTTTTTAATACACTCCGTTTTCTGGCATAGTACATTTATCCTACGATAGATGGCGCGATCTTACGATAGAGTGTATACGAGCATTTCATCGTGAGATCGATGGATTTCAAATTGCGAAGACCATTTCCCCCTCCAAGAAATATCTCTATATATGCATTTGTAAACTGTTATTTACGATATTTGTAATAATTTTTGTTTTATCACTTTATTTCAACTATTTTTTTGCTAATTACGTACTCGCTCGAACTTTGTTAAAACCTTAACCGTATCCCGAACAACAACCGAAGTCGTAGGAGGAAATTCGCCTATTTTACCGATCTAGGGGTCCCCCTTTTCCAAATTTTAATATCGACTCAAAATAATTTAAAAGGACAAATTACAATAAAACGGTTTATTATCCAACTATCAGAAATTTCACAACGCGCCAAAGAAGAGAGGAAGGAGCAATTAAATAATTAAAATTATAAAGGATTTAAAAATATAGAGGAGAAGGTGGTATTATGGAACACTGCGGGTATTATGGAACCACCCCATTTCGAACTGATAATAAAGGCGAACTGTAGCGGAATGTGGCCGAACTGAACTAGGCAGACATCCATAGCAAGAGGAAAACCCGTTTTACTTCAGTTAAACGGTTGTCCGTATTTAATCAGCAAATTTGTTTCTTTCAAAATTCACAAGTTTTGAATGCTAAGTGAATTTAATTATTTTTAAAATATAAATCGTGTAGTTGTAGGTTCACTGGTGCATGTATTCCGTTCCAGAGACTTAGGGGTACATATTAATCTGTGTGATGTTCACGTTTTTTAAATTTTGGTCTCGACAGACATAAGTTAATTCGAGATGGCGATGCGTGAAATACGGACCCCTTTGGTGCTTTTACAGTAATATGGAACTCAACTCCTCCGAACTCTCTCTTTGCAATCAGACATTCGTCCGGAGCAATTTGGGAAAAAGACACTAGGTAGAAAGTCTGAAAATATCGAAAAAGAGCTGCTGGAATATATATTGTTGATGGAGGTCATATTTTTCTATTATAAAAGCATTTTTGCGATAAAATACATTGGAGTAAATAATTTTGTAATTATTTAACATTTTTTGTCCTTTCCTATTTGTTTTTGGCTACATTAAAGCATTTTTTTGAAAATATACAGTAAGGTTCCATATTACCACCCGATTTTCTCTAAGCCTACTTTCGGACTTTTTGTACAAAACCCTTCAAAAACCATACTTATAGTTACACTAGCGAAAAATCAAATTAGGAACATTTAGTTTACTAGTTACCAGTCCTTTTCGCACAAAAAATGTGGGTGTAGTTATGATACCTTGTTTACAATTCACTAAATTGTAATTGGGGTTCCATAATACCATCTTCTCCTCTATATAAAAATGGGGAATATCGCGCTTCTGACAATCGCTGCGAGTGTGTGGGCTAAATTTAAAGAATCCGTGTTTCTCGAATGGACAACTGTATGTGGCCGGCTCACGCGTCGGAAAATCTACCGATTTATTCGCGTACGCACCAGACGGAAAAACAAAAAATATCGCGTATCTACAAGCGCTCCAATAAATAAATAGAATTGAAACGACACTTTGAAATGTTTTCCCCATGAAAATGAATAATAATAATAAGTTTCAATAAAAATAATAAAATGTAAATTGAATTTTATCGTAACGAGTTTGCTTGAATTTCCTTTCTTCTGAGATCGCAGCAATGCGCGACGGGTAAGCTAGTATTAAATAATTACAGTTATTCATCAGTTTACATTATATAAATTACTGTTTTAAAAATGAACAGATTTTGCAATTTAAACATTAACTATGAGTATATTGTGGATTACCATCATAAAATATTTTGTATATTTTATAATATAACGTTCTTTAAATCATTGTCATAAATTTCCCTATGCTATGGGTTTTCCTCATTCCTTCTAGAGACTTGAGTTAAGTCGATACGACTTCGTAATATTATTGTTTGTAAAAGGGGAGAATTTAAAAAGTTTTTTAAGGAAAAGGAGGGAAAAAATGTAGGCAGAGTGTTCTGATATCTGGAATAAGCAGAGTACACTACATATTCATTTCTATATAAAGCTAACGAAGTACAGAGCGAACAAAAATGAAAATCACTGTATTTCCTTTTTATACAACTGATAACTTACCTTGCTTTCAATGTTCTTTTAATCCTGAATACAGACTCGGATTCTTTCCTTGTATTTGTCTTCTTTATCTCTGTCTTAATAAAGAAACATGTTATTGTTTCGCAAACTACGTATTGTTGAAGAACGGAAACATTGTTAATGTATTGTTGATTAATTTTTAGAATAAATATTCAATATATATTTTAAAATTACGAAATTAAATGCTTAATAGTCTTTAATAAACTAGTTTTAAACTTTAAAATATCTTATAAAATAAAAAATAATTTAAACATTAATACGAATGAGAAAAGTTATGCAAATATTATACAGTAGAACGTCGTTTATCCGAATCAATTGGGGACTGGGGTGGTTCGGATAACTTATTTTTCGGATAACGAATCATGTACGAAAAAATATATTAATTTATCCCATGTTGAAATTTCTCTCCGTTGCGTGTCGCTTCGCGTTGAATTTTCGTCGATGTTAAGCCTAACGAAGACTATTGTATCGTTAAAAATTATTTTTTTATTTTGTACAAACAAAATAAATTTATTGAAAAATATAAAAACAATAAAAAATTATACTTCAGATGTTAATTTAGTATCAAAAACGTAAAATATTTGAGTAGCCCGAGAAATAGCCGAAGATTGCAGCGCCACAGCATTAGCGAAAATTTAAATTTGCCGACTGGAATGCTTTCGGATAACGGACGTTTCGGATAAACGACGCTCTACTGTATTCACTTTAACGTTTTCATTTGAATTTTTCTGAATTTCGTCTTAAAATATTTTCATTATTATTAAATTTTTAATTAAAAGTTTCATTTAATAGTTTAATATTGGACAGCGGCAATTTTAAGTATAAGCAAATCAAGCCTTTGCCTAAGACCTCGAGCTTTTAAGATGTCCGATACATATAAATTATGTACAGTATGCATATTCTGTCTTGGTTCAGTACTCGGAATCTAGTAGGCTATTGGATAAGATTCTAGATTTTGTAAAATATGAATTGTCACATATCCTGGACCTTTCATTATAAATTTGTACAAAGTAAAGCCACCTCTAATGGGGATTTTCCAGTATAATTAATATTATTTTGCCTAGAATATATCCCTCTGAAAATAATCACTTCAAATGAACTGAAAGGCTATTTGAGAAATCATTTATATAAATTCAATAATATATATTAAAATATTTTAAAAGGCATGTTTAATATGTTTTTCTGAATAACTAAAAATAGATTTAACGTACAGTACTGTACATCTTTACCTAAGGATCACTGTTTACTATTTATGTATGAATCACACGTATCACTCATAACGTATGAGGTTATTTTCATTTTCGATTCTGCCCTGGGGCACTAAATGGCCTTTTTCATGCCCATTATGGGTTCAGCCTAGCCCAATAGGGACAGACCCGTTATATCCGAGACCGGTCTCCAATGAAAAATATGTAGGTATTTTCGCTCTCCTGAGTTTCATTCTCGGTCCCATAGAGCTATAGTACTGTTCCGAATTTTGGTTATTTTTTAAAAATTATTTTTCTGAATATTTCCGATCAAATGAGTGGTTGTTTTTTTTAATTGTTCCTTTTTCCTCACGAAAAGTCGGTACTACTAATTGTAATCAGAATCATTTTTCATTCCTATTAGTTTGCGGGTTTTTTCTATTTTCGTCTCCACCATACGAACACAGAGTTCGTTTTAATCGTACACATCGCTGCCGGTCCACAATGGCGGCGACAGAGTGGTGAAGGACGAAGCTCTACATATCAAGAACTGATTATCCATTAAAATTCCTTGGGTTTTTCTACCCGTCCAGATTTGGGACGGTATGGCCATATATTATTAACCATTTCATCTCCGTGAATTTAATCAAAATAACTAATTATCTCTGCACATATGTGAAATTTTAACGCCGAAAACAATATCCAGAATAATGACTACTTTGTGTTTATTATAATAATTATTCAGGCTATCATGGTAAACCTTACAAGCATTTCTTCGTGAATTGGAAATCAAAACATGATCTTAAACTCTATTTTTCATCTTGAAAAAATATTGCAAGGGCTTTTTCTTGGCACTCCAGCAGGTTGAGACTAGAAGTCCGATAATTTTCAATTATACCACGATATAAAATTTAAGTATGAATAAAAGGAGTAAATTTACTGAATTGTAAAAAAATTTTTCAATTTTTCAAAAACTGGATTTTTTAAGGGGAAATACTAAGTCTGTTCGGAAATGCTTACCGATCAACTACTGATGACATCATTCGTCGTTACCAATCAACCACCGATCGGTCATTATCTAATTCCCCTTGAAGATTGTTGAGTCTGGTAGCAACAGGTAAATCACCGAAAACAGGTAGTTTTGAATTACGACCGGTTTCGACGGTTGAACCGGTAAACATTTCCGATACCCTACGACTGTGGTTTAAAATTAAAATTGTGTCTTCTATTAATTACTTTTTAAAATTATATAAGAGACAAAAGCTTTATTTTGGGGTAGGGATGTTTTAACAAAACTGTAGATGAAAATTTTACTCCTTATAGCCTGACTCCTCTCAAGATAGGCGACCTCCTATTTCCTCCTTGATTCTATCTCTTATCCTTAAAATTCAATAGCACCAATGCCCCATATTGAAGTACTCCTGCCAATTTCGAAATTTTTGCTCCATGGGGTTTCGAGATATAAAGCAAAATACAGATCAACACACGCACAGCATTTTGTACCTTGTTTTGATGTTTTTAGATTCGAATAAAACATTATATATATATATATATANATACCTGTAAACAGTTTAGTAATGTAGTAAGTCAAGTTTGGTCTAAATTCTTGTATTGAGAAAGGAGAAAGGCGTATCTTAGAGTTTTTCTTTCTTTGATCAACACGCAATCTCAACATCTATTTTCTAGTACTTTTATTGGAAATCTATAAATTGTAGAAAACAGAACAACCTATGATTGTTTAACATTTTATCTTTTTGATGAACAAACTAAATTATTTATTTATTTTTCATCAATTTAATTCGTATTTGGAGTGATGGATTTCGATGCTTTTTTAATATTTAATTCATTAAAACTGATAAGTTAAATTATATAATCAATACCTCGGTAGGATTTAAAGCGTGATTTTTTTAAGTTTTTAAAATAAAAATAAATAAATAAATAGTTTAAAAAATTCTAGATAAATTTTGATAAAAATCTTGGAAAGTTGGCTTGATTTTTATCTAAAGAAGATCGAGTGTAGAAAGATGCCTTCTTGGATTAATGCCCTATAACTTTGGTAAAGTTTAACGATAATGTAGAGATTTAAAATCGTTAAAAAATGTATATATATATATATATATATAATCACATTCTTATTAAATGCGAATTAATATGATTCCAAGATATATATATATATGTTTTAAGCATTTAAAATCATATGTTTTCTATATTTTGTTTTCAACATCAGTAATTATGTAGTTTCTTGGAATGTAATTTATTACACAAAGTATAATGTTGTGATCTGTTATGTTGGCTTAAAGATATATCATTTCAAATAATATATCTTCAAGCAATATATCAGGCAAGAACCATATCTGATTCTTGCCTGAAGCTGCAGATTTTCATTAGACGAATGGTTCCTACTCATCTTGATATATAAAGACAACAGATAAATGGAGATTGGTAACAGTAATGCCAGGAGACATTTTGTTAACAGATATCAGAATACACAGAGCTGTCAAATTTTACAGTCTTAAATACAAATTAATTTTTCTTAATTAGTTTTCTACTTTTTATACAATTTATGTAATCTAGATAAGTGAATTTAATATGCAACAAGAATTAGCCAGCTTTGGAGGATAAATAACCAGATCAAAAATGATGTGATATTTCACAGCAGAATGAAACATTTTAAAATTGAATTATATATATATATATATTAAAGATTATTCCAATCTTTTTACATTATACATTTGTCCACTGTCTAATATTTAAAAATTAAATATTAGACAGTGAAACAGTTTTCTCTATTCAATTTGTCAAACATGTTTTCTGAAAATGACAGCAAGAAAACTGTACTTATTTTGCAAAAACATTTTTATGTATAAAATTACTATGATCTTTTATATTATTTTCTTGTATACAATCCTCTCCCCAGCTTGTATTATACATTTGTAATCAGACCTTTTTAATTAAAAACAAGATTTAAAAAAAATAAAAAGTTTAAAAAAATTCAAACAATAAAATAAAAAATTTTAAATATTTATTTTTGTTTATATAGGCCATTGAATTATATTCAAGGTTTCAATATTCATACATAAGTATTAGGATTTATATTTATCACATATGTTTTCATTCATTCACCTTTCAAAACATTCAGTATTCTCTGTACATAACCAAATGTTAATAATTAATCTACAAAGAATAAAATTCCTTATATTTCATCTATCTACACATAGAATTTTATATATTCCTTAATAAGATTTTATAAAACAAAATATTTGGAATGTTAAAAATAAATGATCAAAATTGAATTGTCCCTCTTAGTTTACAGATAAAATAAAAAGGGATTATGGTAATTCTATATACATCATTTACATACTGCATGAATCAAAGGGTTCTTTTTCTTTTTTTTAATGCTATATCACAGTAACTTTCATCTTTGTATGAATTTTTGTTCAGTGGATTCTGATGCATGCTGTTAATGAACTTTGGAAGGAAATCTTTAATCCTTAATCACATTTACTCTTCACTGTTAGCATTATAAGATTAGTTTGATGAATCAAATAAATGGCACTTACAAATACACTTTGAGCTCTGAAAAAAAATTATTTCTTTGTTATAAGTTTTTCTATAAAATATATTATTATTCTTCAAATTATAAAATATAAATTTAAAAATTTTATAAGAAATTAGTGATGATTCATTTGAATAATCTGAACTCTGGAATAATCATTCAAATGTGTAAAATCCCTTCTTTGAATTAAATTTTTGCAATTTCTCAGATATTTAATGCTAAAATGATATAAATTATTTATATTTTGGGCTTTAGTTTGAGAATTTTTATTTTTCACACTTTTTGAAAATACCATATTAATAAAGTAATATATTTAAACTCAATTAAAAACCATTAAGTATCACTATAATCTAAAAAGTATTAAACAGTCATAGTAAGTGTTTTTGTTTTGAATAAGTATGCTTAAAACCTAAAACTTACATACTCATCATGGAAACAAATGAAGACACAACCTAAATAACTCATGTTGTAAAAATCATTCAGTTTTTACATTTAATAGCAGGCTGCCTAACTATCTAGTGTTGTATTTCCCAACATGGACAAATGGACAAAAATATCTTTTTGGTAATAGCTTTTCCTTACTTTAATTTTAAAACAAACCAAAATTGATGAGTAAATCATTTGAGATAATTTTAATAGTTGAATAATTTAAATATTTAATTATTTTTTATTCAAATGAACATATCACTACTTAAAACACTAATTTAATATTTGATCACCATTTCTGCAAGATTATTTTATTCATTTTACTTTTTTATTGTTTGTTTGTCAATGAATTGTACTATACATATTAACAAGAATTGCATGTAGAAGTCTTGATAAGACTTATTTCAGTGACCAATGCATTACATTACACTTTGATAAATCTAGATTTAATAGCAGTTCTGCTATTAAATCTAGTGTGAGAGTCGAACTTAGTGGAATAAATTATTAAATAAATTTTTTGTTGAGAGAGAAAAAGTTTAGAGAAATAAACAACAAAACTACATTTAAAAAATCATTAAATTATTTTCCCACGGACTTATTTCCTGGTTGAAGATGATACATCGAATGTGTCACCTGGAATCTACGAAAAGAAGAAAGAAAACAACTATTGGTCAGTGGTGAAAAAAACAGTCCTACTAAGGCAGTGGAAAAAACCCAACGATACCCCCTTTATAAAAAGGAGGGGTCGATGCAACAACCACAGTCTCCAGAGTTAAGCAAACTATAGGATTACGTGTGTGGATTAGCCACTGTCAGTAACTTCTCTAATCACCGCCATGCAGGAAGACCAGCATCTAAGAAACCTCATTGTTCAAAAGAACTGTGTGAGAAAAGAAACCCCATTGTTCGAAGGAACTGTGTAAGAAACCTCATCGTTCGAAAGGACTTCTTGAGACTCAAGTACTACATTTCCAACTCTCATAACTAATATCAAGGTATTTATCCTCATGCAAAGTAAATGTAAACTCTCTCTCATTAATACGGGTTATCGGGAAAGAAGTAACTATGTTAACTGAAATCGAACATGATTTGTGTATAGCTTAAATAGAACAATAAACAGGTATTATGTATATAAAGACAATATATAGAGCATAAATCCTCTGATTCTCTCCTTCCGCCTCCATCCCGGAACCAAAAGTCCGCACACACGACCGTTTGCGTAAAGAAAATTAACAGCCAATCTAGTTTCTGTGTCTGTCCTTAAGACACAGTGGTGTCATCCTGACAGGGTGCCAGAGGTGCCGACCCTGCGGTCACACTAGATTCCTACAATGGTCACACTCAATCCTACAGTGTTTTTCATTAATAATTTATAACTATTAAGTTTTTTCAAAACATGCACACATTTTTGATGACTAAATCTGAGAAATTAAGTAATTCTATTTATAACTTATTGTCTACAAGCCCTATTGAAAGTGCAAGAAAATACAATAGTACTTGAAACATAAATCAATCATATGAAACCTTCAAGAAACAATTACATGATTTAAAAAAGCTGGCATATGAATAAAGTAGAAACAATTGCTTAATTTCAATAAGATTTACTTTATAGTAGAATTAAAGTAGGATGGTGCCTTGACTTATGAGTTCAATTTGTTCCATGATGGTGCTCGTAACTTAAATTACTCATATGTTAAATCAATTTTCCCAACTGAAATTCCATTAATCCTTCCAGACTCCCAAAACACTGCAATTTTTTTGTTACATGTTTTTAACTAAAAAAAATGTACTTATAAATAATGAATATTGTATAAAACACAATAGAATGTACTGCAATAAATTGATTTAATTAAGTACTGTATAATGTACAGTACAGCATTTCAGACAACTTGAAGATGCTGATGGAGATGAACAGAAAAGCCAAACTGAATAACTGAACCTATTTGCTGATTTTTGCCCTTTTTGTCATGTTTTCCTCACTTTCATCTGCAGGGGTTTTCGATAAAAATCTGTCCAACAAAGTCTGTTTCATCCCCTTTCAGAATGTTTCTGAAACGAGTTAGGCAACTGTCATTAAATAGCGCTCTCACCTACCTAGCTGCTACATTTTCCGGCTGTTTCTTTTCAATAAACATCTAAAAGTTTCTCCCATGTTCCCTTTATTTCACTTGTAGAGATAACCTTCTCCACATCACCTATTTCCTGCAAAACCTGTGTGTGCTGCTGCATCTGTAGCTCCTTTAGCTCCTCTGTTGTCACTTCCTCTGAGTGCTCATTGATGTCACCCTTCATCCATGTCCAGGCCCATGGACTTGCCAAAGGGTACAATCTATTCCACCACTGCTGCTGCTTCAGGTTAAGGTCGTTCAAAGTTTGTTTCAGACACAACCTCAGGCCACAGCTTCTTCCACATAGAGGTTAAGGTCCTCTTTGTAACACCCTGCCAGGTCATATTGATGATTCTGAGGCATATCATCATGTTATAGTGGCTCTTACAAAATTCTTGAAGGGCGCGGTTTGTGCTTTCCGTCACCTCAATGCAGCGGCAGAACAGGTGCTTGGTGAAGAGTTTCTTAAAATTAAGAATCACCTGCTGGTCCATGAGCTGCAGGATAGGGTGGTGTTGGATGAAAAGTAGAGAACCTTTATAAATTTGAACTCTTCGAGGTTAGGTGGGGGAGCAGGTGCATTGTCCAAGACAAGAAGGGCTTGCAGGGGTAGGTTATTTTCCTTGAGATATTTCTTAATGTCATGACCAAAGACCAAATCACCCACTCCACAAAGAACTACCTGATGACCCATGCCCTTGGGTTTGCCCTCCACATAAGATTCTGAAAGAAAAACTGCAGGTTATGTGGGGTTTTCTAAATGATAAACAAGCATCAGTTTAATCTTGCAGTCACCACTCGCATTGTCACACAAGCCTTAGTCATGAGGTTTAGCCTATCCTTCATGGGCTTGTGGCATGGCAGCCTCTTCTTCTCTTCATTATGTAAGTCCTCTTTGGCATCTCTTGACAGAAGAGTTCTGTCTTGTCACAGTTGAAAACTTACTGGGGATGTATTCTTTGGCTGCTATAATTCCAGAAAAAGTTGAGGTAATCCTCAGCTGCCTCACCATGTCTGACAACAGAGTGAATGAATGCAGGTCCTCTTTTTAAAATTCTTGAACCAGCTAAAACTGGTTTTAAATGGCTTGCCCAATGCCTCATTTGTCAAAGTGCCTGGGGTCTACTGTAGCAAATCAGCATAAATAGCTTGCAGATTGTAGCCAACATCATGGTATATCCCATGAGCTGCTGCTCCCTATTTTCATAGATAGATTTTTTCTGTGATTACTCAGGATATATTTCTTCATAATTGAAGTTGAGACTATTTACAAAAAATATCAAATTTTTGAGTCTATCTTAATCCTTTTTATACAACCCCAGAAGTAACAGTTAACATGGTTTTTTGAAGAATATACTTCTTAAAACAAAGGTAAACAATAAGTAAAAACAGGTTTCACAATGTTAAAAACGATCAAGTGTCAGCCTTCTGTTATAAGTTCTGACACTTTTACATTAAAAACACAAAGAATTCTTCTCACCACATTGTCCTTATCCATTTTTTAACTGCTTCAGGCCCTCTGGTGGTAGTTACGAGTTATCCTACTTCATTTGCATATGGATGTCTGCTGTTTAGAAGTTATTTTAACACCCTTAACTGATGTTATTTATAGCCTTTATCAACTCCTTCTGCTTCAGTATGATGCAGATTGTAGAAGTGCTATGCTTGTACTGCTTCACCAAATTTCTTTCTTTAATTTAATGCACATCGTTCGCTTCTTCTTCTCAACACTGTCCTTCACACTCACTTTCTTCAGACCCATGGTTGAAAAAACAAAGTTTTGCATATGTTGCAGCGTTTGCTGCATAGATTAAGAAAGAAAAGATGGAAAACTTGAGGAATGAGAGACGGTGGCATCACACGCAATATGGAAGTGAACTAATGCCTACCAGTACATCACTCAATCACGTATTTTTCTATAAGCTAGCCCGTCAGCCTTTGAAAGAGTAACAAAAATGACTTATGGTTGAAAATGAAAAATTTTCACAACACTGTGAAGTGTTGCTTTGTTCAAACAATACTGTAGGAAAAACTGCACTTTGCCAGGCTTTATTTTCCAGAAAATGGTTATAACTAGTAAGTTTGTCATTACAGTACTTGCATGTGATAGTTACTCTGTCTTTATTCCATTTTTTTCAAGATAAATATTAGAAGAGCTTTCTAGGGATTTTTAGCAAAAATAATCCAGAAAATTACTCTTAACAACTGAAATATGTAATTGAATATGTTTTTGCTTATCAAAACAATGATTTTTACTAAAAATCTGTTTCCTTATACAGTAGAGTCCTGAAAACTCGGTCTAATGTGGATCGAAGGGTGGCCGAGTTTGTGAAAATGCCGGGTTATCAGGAATGGAGTTAAAAAATAATAAGTACGAGTGTTTCCTCAGAAAATACTGTACTGTACTTGTATGTATTGTTTGCTTGAGAATATAACAGCGAATAAACTGCCCAAATACCCTTAAACAAAGGAAAAGTATGTCCTTTATGAAGGCATAGAGCTTTTACTACATGAAAATGAAAATTAATGAATACAGTCGACCCCCCTATAACACTGTTGATTATTCTGTTTTATATGAATTCCATGTTGTACGAGTCACTTAGATTTTACAAATACGTGAGCCGTTCACAGCCCGGCACACGTATTTGTAAAATCTAAGTGACTCGTACAACAAGGAATTCATATAAAATGGAATAATCAACAGTGTTATAGGGGGTCGACTTGTACACAGTGTACAGTAATTTACCTGATAAGACAGATCTCAGAAAAATATTTTATGAGGCATAAAGCTGTCTATAATGAAAATTAACTAGGGGTTTTTCGCCCTGCCAGGGTGTGGCTGAGTTAACTGGACTGTCGGGTTATTGAGTGCCGAGTTTTCAGGACTCTACGGTATCAAATTTGCATGTCTATCAATGACAGAGCTAAGCCTAATAATACACTGAATAATGAATATATAGATGAATATGGATGAATAAACGGTATACAGTATATGTTTTATTGAATATAAAAATAAATGTACTGTACTGTATATAAAAAGCTTAAAAACTTTTATAAAATCATATACAGTAGTAAGTATAATATAATACTGTATAGTACTTAAAAATATAAAAACTTTGTAAGTTTTAAATAAAGTTGTGCGCTATGTGTTTCTTTATCTTCAGTTCATCTAAATTACTTGCCCAATTTGGAAGTAGGCAACAATATTAACTTGATAATTATTGCTTATTCATTTAAAAATCCATTGATAGGAAAGCACTGTAATTTCAATGTTTCCATGCATTCCATGAAAGAAGTGTACAGAAGTGTCTTGTACACTTCTTTCTCTTATCACTAGTGGCACTGCCTCAAACATTGGTAGATCACACACCTTAAGGCAGTTTTCCGTCTTTTTCTTAATTTATTGTTTGCTGTGGTGTTCTCTGTGACAACTAGTGGTGGGGCATCTGAAGCTAGATCATAATCCAAATTTTAGCTCTCAACTCAAAGCAAAAAATTGGCTGAGAAAAATTGCTCTTATCTCAAAAATATTGTTAGTTGAGACACTCATAAGTCAAGGTACCACTGCATTATGGTAGGTATAACATAATTCTCATACATTTTAAAATAAACAGAAACAATTCTTTAAAACAATTTGTCAAATGGGGTGCCTGCAAACAAAATGTGAAAGAAATCCATCTTTTAAAATAATTTTACTGGTAATGTAGCTAAAAATCAAATATTAATATTCTTGCATATTTAAAAAGGAGGAAAAAATATTTCTTAAAAAGCAGATGAGATTTTCAAAATCATTATATCACTTAAAAATTATTATGTAAATGTACAATTTGACACTTTCAATTGATAAATCAAAAGAAATAATTAATATATTAAATAAGTATACATAAATGATATGTAAACTTTCACTTTATTTTGAATATTTGAAACTATTTCTTTTTAATGAGCTTAGCTATATTATTTTTATTTAATACAACTTTGTTCATTTTAGATCAAATTTTTTTTTGGGAAATATTTCACATTGGAACCTTATTGTGAATAAAAAAAACCTTGAACACTATAAATACTATAAAATACCTTTTTACTACTACATTTAAAATTATTTTGATTCTTTAGTAAATATTTGACACACAATGAATTATTTAATATTTTGCATTTTGAATTATTAGTTCAAAATATAAAGATACTTACTGTCCCTCTCTAAAGAAATCTTTTAATGTATTACTGAAACGCTTAGAATACTTCACAAATTCTCTTTTTCGTTGCTCTAATGCCTACAAATAATTTTTTATTCATTATTTTTAAAAATATACTTAAAATTTACATATATGATACACACTAGATACAATCAAACAATTAAAAATAAAAACTTGATTACTGAATACAATTATTTTTATTCCTTTTACTTTAAATATACTTTAATGTTTGAATAAAAATTAATAATTAAAATCTGAAAGTTTAATTTATAGTACAACATACAAAAAAATGAATTTCTATATTCGATTGTTCACATAACTATAAATGCAATAATAAAATGAACACAGAATAACATTATAAATACAGTAAAACTACATAATTTGTAAACTTTACAACTCACAAAAAAAAAAAAAAGCGTCTTTTTCAAAAACACATTGAGTTTCATATTAATATTTGAATATGAATTTAGGTACAGTACATATCAGAATATTTCTCTTATTAACTATTTAAGTTGTCTTCAAATCTTCCCATAAAAATTAGAATCTTTAAAAGATTGAAGCAGCTTTAAGCAGTCAGAAAAAACAAATATTCTTTGATATTTACCTGTAGTTTCATTTTTATATCTATATGAGAATAATTTCATAAATATTTGTGTTTCTCAAATAAAATTATGTAATAAATTTTTGAAAACATTCATATTATGGCATTTATTAATTAAATATAACTATTTAATATATGGTAAGAAAAAGACAATTATCTTATTCCATGAAAGTAAAATCAAAACTGCTTTTAGCTAAATAGAAACATTTTCAGATTAATGCTTATCTATTTTCAAAGCTATTTAAAAGTACAGTAGCACCTTGATTATCCAGACTAATTGGGGATGAAGGTAGTCCGGATAAGGAAAAATTTGGATAATCGAAACAAATACTTTAATTTGTCTTTTAATGATAATACAACATGTTTTCTTTTCAATGACATATCGGTAATATTAAAAATAAATACTGTATTTAAATCGTGATCAAATTTTCAAGAAACAAATGTTCGTATTGAATTTGGACTTACTACTGACCAGCATTAACAGACTACCTATAGTTTAAAAGGCCCTCTGGTGGCACAAGAAGACGGATTTTATAAAATAAAAAGCAGTTGAAACTGCATTTTTATGAATAAAAATTTGACAAACTATTTATCGTTTTATGACGAGTAAAATTTTTTNTACCATTGAAGGGAAAACTGAGCCAAATTTAAACTAAAACTCTCTTAACATAAGTCTAATATATGAAATATCCTTTCACTGCAACAAAGGACACATTTAATAATAAATTTTAAAATATGCAAAAACAATACTTACAAAACCTTTCTTTTAAGTATAAAAAGGAAATAATAAATCTTTTAATTATTCATTACTTTTAATTTTTAATATTCTTACAGGATTAACCACAGATAATTCTCATATAACATAGTGCTTAGGTTCCTATAAAATCTTGTATAGCATTAATATGTTATACCAGACTAAGGACTGATAAAAAAAAAAAAAAAGAGGATTAACTTCCAAAAGTATATCATTTTATTTTTATAACAATTGGAAATTTAATTTTTATTAAAAATAGTTTTTGTTTTGCCCAATTAGTATAGTTCTAACAAACTTTTCTGGCTTGATTTACAGGCCATCTTCAGGTTAAAAGCCATTCTAACTAGAAGGAGTTATGTTGAAACTAGTACTAAACCAATTGGACAAAACAAAAGTGAATTACCTACACCTAGAAATAGAGATCATTGAGAACAAAATAAATCATGAAAGTTTATCACAAACCAAATTCACCTTCCTTTTTCATACCTGCTGCTTCTAATGGTCCAAGGAATTTTAAAATAGTGGCATTTAGAACACTTGTTCAAAGAGCTTACATACATTGTTCTAGAAATACATGGCAAGGGGATGGAATCTATTAAAAAGCTAGCAACAAAACATAGCTACAGTATTAAACTAGAATAATTACCAATTGGCTAGAATTTTAAAAAACAAGTCAGATAAGGAAGCAGAGCAATCAAAACCTGACTGCAAATATGTAATAGTTGAATTTGACTCCAGTTTATTTGTTTAACAATGTTTATTCTAGCATAGCAAAAGATATACAAATAGATACAGCATTTAAAAGAAACCACACAATATCTAATGGAAAAGATCAAATAAACAAGAAAAGAGCCTCTGGAGTGTACACCATACCTCTAGAAGATTCTAGATTCAGCAGATGCCTAACTTATATAGGCTCAACTAACAGATCAATTGAGGCCAGAGTTAAAGAACAACATATATATATATATATATCCCAGATGCAGCATATATATATTTTAAAAAATTAAAATTTATTTAGTTGTTTGTCTTTTGGCTTCCTTTGCTTATATGTGACATAATTAATCCAAACTTTCACTAATCTGAACAACTGTATACAATAATTATCAGTTCAAATTGGCAGGAGAACACTATATTAGGTCAAAATAAACTAACAAAGTTTCACCTAATAATTATTCTAATTTGTGAAGCTTTCTGTTCAAAAAAATTAGTATTTTAAAGATTTTAGATTTTTTATGTTTGTAATTTTCACACATAAATTTCAATTAGTTGAAAAAGATTTAATGTGTACAATATTCAATTTTTTTAAAAATAAAATACTTATTACTATTTTAGAAAATTCTTTTCACTCACAGTGAAATTGAATTTCCCCTCCAATCAAACACTTTTTAAACATATGGGCTCTCAACCAACAAAGGACATTTCAGCTTTGAAGCAACATGTCCATCTGAGAGCCAAGTAATAATTCTTGAGAGGTCTCTCAGATTGTGTGTCCACTAGAGAATTGTCTTTATTCTCTCTAGTTCTGATAAGAATAAGATTCAATGCTTACTTGGTTTAGCAACTGTCATTTGATTCAGATGATAAAATGCAGCTATTATTGTTAGGTACACAAATCTAAAATGTAAAATTCATCTTCATCAGGGAATGTGTTGGTTGATGCAATGGATAGAGAATGATAAAAACTGGAGTTTGTTCATCATTAATCAACAGATTTTGTAAAGAAAATGCTAAAAATGTTAGAAGTTTTTTAAATGTCAGAAGAGCAAGTTGAATTCTTGATATATTAAATAATTCTCAAATAGTTTAGCAAAACACTAAATTTAAAAACAATTCCTGTAAAAGACAAAGTAATGATTACTTACCTGATGCCAAAAATCTTAGTTAAGGTTTTTAGATAAATATTTTCTTAAATTAGTTGTGATGTTTTATTGGCAATTTGTACAATAGTCTTCAATACATGTTTTTCATAGGTCCACCAGTGCCAAGTGGATAAAACCACCAAACACTGGTAGCTGATTGTGAGTTTGCAACTTACAAACAGCCTGGCCATGTGAAAGTTTCAAAGTTTTTTCATATGTCTAACACCGAAACAGAAGCTAGTTTCCCATAAAACTCCTTGTGGGCATCCCCTTAAGACAGTACCCATGTGTTGTATTACCTTATTCTATCAATCAAATCCAATCCATCATTCCACACTTTTCAATTCATGATGTCTGAGAAAACTTGCAGCTATATGAACTAGATTCAAACTGTCTAAGAACATTAAAACATGTCCACTTGAGAATTGTCTACTCTCCATACAATGAGAGAGTAGCTCTGAGAGCACTCTCCGAACATTATCCACTACTCACTTTACTCTTAAAAGTGACTTGGTATTTTTTTCCTCAGATGAAAAGAAGGCTTTAGAATATTCAGAGATTCAGGCATTTAAAGTTCATACTGCTTTAAAAAAGAGTGGTTTCAATCATTTCAATGTAATACATGATTTTTTGTTAATTTACTAAGGTTAAAAATTATTTGTTATTGTAATTAGTTTTGGTGTTATTTTGGTTACAATTTTGTTTTGTATAAAGTGTCTGTCAAAATATATATCAATACTACATGTAATTAAATTTTGCATTTATTACTGTTTTCTTAAATATCACATTATCACTAATTTCTCTAATACTGTAATATAGAAATAAAATAGAAAAGCACTATATGATAAAAGACTAATAAAAATTAGAATATTTTTGAAATGAACTTTTTTGGCAAACAACATTTAAATAAAAATTTTAAAAATTAATTTAATTATTTAAATATTTAATTTTTCCATACCTGTTTTCCAGTAGGAGAGGGAATATATCCAGAAACTTCATTTACAGCATCCAAAAGTTTTTTAATTGCACTTGCTATTTCTCTGTGAAATAATTATAGATATATATAATTTTTAAATATCTTATTTAAATTATAAAAGCAAAAAATTTTTTTATTTTTATATTAAAAACAAAATATTTGCAATAAACAATTCATAAATAAAATTAAGTACAATACTTTTGAGTTTATAAGAATCAATTCAATTAATTCCATTTCAATTTCAAAATACAAAAAGTGCTAAATTTCCATATTTTAGTAAAAAAAAAAAAAATTTTTTTTATCCATTTTATGTATACAGTACATTAATGTTAATCTGAAAATCTCAACACCATCCTTGCATTTCCAGCAAACATGTTTATTAAGAACACAAATGTTTTTGGCATATTTCATAAGCCTATATCAGGTTTCACACTCTAGCTTCAATTTGATAACATTTGAAATTGGAATGTTACTTGGTAAGTGATGTTATTGAATTTTTAAGATACAGCATATCCTATAGTATTTCTCATGCATTTGTAATTAAAAACACACTTTAAAAAAACATAGTATTGTACATATGAATGTGTATATAGTACAGTACATTAATGTTTAAAATAGATTCCAAAAATATAGAATCTTTAAGGGGCTTATCAAGGGCATGTTTTGATATCTATTTGAAAACTATTTGTTAATCTCAATACTTCTTATTCTTATATACCAAAGCAAAAGTAAAAAAAATTTTTTTCTAACATTTAGAGGAAAAAAATTTTATTTATTCACAAAAATGATATATACAGGTTTAATCAATCCACTAAAATAACTTGACATACTGTACTTTGCCTCTTATGCATATAGTATATATAGTTTCCATAAGGTTTGTTGTACATATGTAAAGTATAATGTAACATACACATTTCTATACAGGATAGAGATCTCAAGAGACTGAATAATTTCAAGTACAGTTATTTCTTATATGCAGAGGTTAAAAAATAAAAGTTTTTTCAAATAAATATTTTACTGGGTGAGTGGGAAAGCTCTTGTTTGTGATATAAACAGATTATCAGAACAACAGATAATTTTCAGTATCTCAAGCAATCATTAAAACAAGATTCTATTGTAATAGTTTCCTAATGGTTCTTTCTCTCATTTCTCTTACTTTTTTCAAAAATAAAATATAAAAAATTATTTTTATAACCTCATTTTATAATTATGGTATTATGATGAATTTGTAAAATTGGTACATATTACACATACATGCATACACACACACATATATATATATATATATCCCAGATGCAGCATATATATATTTTAAAAAATTAAAATTTATTTAGTTGTTTGTCTTTTGGCTTCCTTTGCTTATATGTGACATAATTAATCCAAACTTTCACTAATCTGAACAACTGTATACAATAATTATTAGTTCAAATTGGCAGGAGAACACTATATTAGGTCAAAATAAATTTTAGAAAATAGATTCATTAACAAATTTTAGAAAATATTCAGGTTTAATACTTTATTGTGTTTTATAAATGTATAATAAATTTAATTAGACATTACATTGATGTTTATTTCTTAAAATGTTAATTTTTAGTTTTTCAGATATGAAATAAATACATACTTCTCTACAATTGTAAATGAACAGCAGCAACAAGTTTTATAAATTTTTTACTGTTTGCAATATAAACATAGTTCACTTTAAAATTCTTTTGAAAAATATGAAATGTTCCAGTAAAACCATCCAATACAAGCCTCTCATTCAGTAGATTGACATATTATTTTTGAGATCATCAATGATAAATTGTAATTTATTAGTTACTGTTATTAAAAATCATCTTCATGCTATTAATTATAAATTATATTTACACACTTCTTTAATCAAACAAAATTTCAATAATCAAATATAACTATTTTAACTTCCATAGAAAAAGATATATATATATATATTTCTTAGTGAAACTTTGAACTCTGAATTATAATTAAATCTATAAAACTAAAGCCAGAAAAACCTCTAACATGTAGAAACACTAACTTGATTGTTTCCAAAAATGTTTTACGATCATTAATTTCATCTGGAATACGACTCAAAATTTTCTTTAAGGACGAAGACTTCCTGTTCAATTCCTGAAAACTATCTTCGGGACGACTACATTTGTATTCTGCAGTTAGAAAAATTTGAAACAATAAAAAATATTATATGTAACCTATCAAACTTTGATATATTTTTAACAGTAAATACTTAAACTAAGTTTTTAAAACTTATTGCTTAAAAAGGAAAAGGGAAAAAATTCTAAACAACAAATTTCATTTTGTTTATTATCAGTGTATTATTATCTCTTAAAATCATTAAACAAAATGAGATATGGATCAATTACTTAGTCTAACAACCAAAAATTCTTGCCCTACTATCTTCTACTTGAAATGCATTTCAAATGTCATATTCTTTATTAACATCCTTCTCCAGTCCCATTTGTAGTATTCTTTTATTTCTTTGTATTGGTCCAATTTCTTCTCTGTCAAAGTCATCTTTGAATAATGTTTGCCAGTAATGTTCTGCATATCACTATCTTCTACAATTATCATTCTCTTCTCTCTCTATACTCTCTACTTCTTTCTTAACATATTCATCCCAGATATATATTTCATCAAGTAGAAGAATTTTTGGTCTTTAACTAATTGATCTGTGTATCTCATTTTGTTTAAAGATTTTAAAGAATTCCTCTGATTTTTAAGAGATTTTAATAAAATTATATTTAATAAACAATCACTGCAAGTTATGAAGAATGAACTTCATTGCCTGTACAATATAACAAACATTACTTTTAATGTAAAAATCATGTATTGTATTATTAAAAACTGAAATAATTAAAATGTTGATGCAAAAAATTTTCAATTAGCCTAGCTAAAATAATCCATTTCTTACCATTTGTGTCTGGAATTGATCCTTGTAACTTTAATAAACTTTCTGCCATGTTTACTGATAACTCTGCTCTTCTTACTAATCCCATGACAAGATCATATACAAATCCTGTATGTGCTGCTTCAACCTAATAATAAAAATTATTAATTCCTTTGTTACTCCATAATAATTTTTCATATATCCAATTTGCACTTTTAGCTAATAAACAAAAATTTAAAACTATTGTGCTATATTGCTTTCTGCCAGTTTTGGTTTCAGTAAAATCCAAATCATTCATAAAAATTAAGTTTTGTTATCTGTTTTCTGTTCAATCTACAGTTTTAACATTTAAAATAATGCATGCTTTGTCATATATTCACTGTAAAAAGTAAAACTTTCCTAGCTTAATTTTCCTTTTTAGCTCTCTGAAAGTAAAATATTCATTAGATGTTTTCATTAAATTGAGTTATTGGATTTTAAAGGTTCTTGATGGTTTGTGAAATAAAACTCCCTTTATAACATGCAACTCTATTGCTCAACTTCAAACTTTCATACATATTTTTAGGAATGCATTAAATCTGAAAGGCAGGGACTTTACTTTATTGGAGTGAAAATTGTAAAGACTTTAAAAGCTAAGTGCTTTTGAACTATGGTGGATCATCTTCAAAGCATGAATTGTCAAAAATTAACCATTAGATATTTCAAAAAAAAAATATATATATATTTTAAAATTTCTTGAAAAGACATTTTTCCCCACATTCTAAATGAAACCCATTTCATTTTAGATCACAGAAGGACCATTTACTTTTTATTTGTATGTTTTACAATCAATAATTAATGTTTTGTTTCTTGCTTTTTGAAACTAAGGCTTGAATATTTAGATATGAAAGCATTTGGATTTTAAAGATTAAAAGTTTCATTTCAAAGCATAGTTTTCTTATAATTTTGAGTTCTGATTGGAGTTGAGATACTTTCATTATTTCAAACAGAATGATGCCACATACTAGAGAAACTACAAATATAGCAAAAAAAACAAATATAACACTAAATGTAAAAACTTATTAAATTTTATGCAATTTACATTTATTTTCAAGCAGGGTCACCTATACATTGGGGCAAGTGCCCCCCCCCCTTTGTCTTCGGGTTGCTCTTTTCTTAATCCCCAAGGGAGCTCTGAGGTTTCATTTTGTTTTTAAATTAATTACTCTCTTTTATTACAGGAAACTTTTTTAGTGATGATGAAATTAAAATAAAAATATTTGTTATTGATTGAAAATTTGTTCTAGTGAGTGATGATTGTTCAGTCAAGTACAGTACCACTGTATTTGATTAACACAGTAGCAATGAGGTATTAATTAACTGCTTTAATCAAAAGATATATATATATATACACAAGTATCTTCTTGCATAATGTACTATGATGCCCTTTTTATAGCTTGTGTTCTCCCTTTTTATAATCTGCAGGCATTGCTGTTTTCAAGTCATTGCATTTTTAAAAATATATCTTCAGTAGTACCATCAAACATTACTATTCAGATTCTAAAGTTGTTTTTTTCTATTGTTAAATTTTATTTATATAATTAGTTAATGATTTATATTTTCATGTAAGTCTAAACATTTGCAATTTGTATAAAATTTTTAATAGTCATGTAATTATTAACTGAAAATTTTTCTCAAACAAAACATTGGTAAATTGCATTTCATCCTTATAATGTTTTTCTCTCTTATTTTAATAATTATAGTTTTATTTTTACACATACAGCAAGTCTTCACTTAATGTTGTTTCATTATAATATTGTTGAGTACTTATGTAATAATTTACAGTTATTTATGTTGAGTTTTGTTTATAAACAGTAAAATTGATTCCATGAAGGAATTAAATGCTAGAAGTTGCAAACATAATCCCATAGAAAACATAACAGTTGTTTATATAATTTAACCTATAGTAAAATTGGTTTTGTTATACATTGTTTCATTTAATGTGTTTATGTATTTATAATTGTAAATAATATATATATATAATAACATTTTTCAAGACAGCATTTTATATACACACATATACGTGAAACTGGCTGAAAAATTATTGAACTTTTAAAAATAATTTTCTAATTTTTTAAAATAAAAATAAGTTAACTTGAATAAAATAAAATAAACCTTTAACTATC